GGCCTGGCTGCCACCCACCCCAGCCAGAGCTTACCTGCGCCATCTCTCTCTGCCTGCCTTTCTGCCCGCCTCCCCTCCCCGCTGGCCTCTTGCTGTGTGTCTGCCCGTCTCCCCCATCTCTTGCTGGGTGTCTGCCCATCTCCCCCATCTCTTGCTGGGTGTCTGCCCATCTCCCCCATCTCTTGCTGTGTGTCTGCCCGTCTCCCCTCTCTCTTGCTGTGTGTCTGCCCATCTGCCCCGTCTCGTGCTGTGTGTCTGCCCATCTGCCCCGTCTCGTGCTGTGTGTCTGCCCATCTGCCCCGTCTCGTGCTGTGTGTCTGCCCATCTGCCCCGTCTCGTGCTGTGTGTCTGCCCATCTGCCCCGTCTTGTGGGAGTCACTGCTGCTCTTGTCTCTGTTCCCTTCTCTCTTTCTCTGAGCCTTTGCCTCTTTCTGTTTGCTACCCTTTCCCTACTCGTTTTCCTCTCTGCTGTTTTCTCTGTCTCTGTGTGTCTTTCGGCCCTCTCTCCACCTGTCCGTCCGTCCGTCTCTGTCTCCCCCACTCTGCCCGTGCATCCCTGCTCGCTGCGCCCTTCTGGGCCCTTGCTCTCTGCTGCCTTCCTCCCCTGCCTTCGCTCCTGGCTCCTTCTCGGCCCCCAGGCACACAGCACAGCAGGAGACCAACAAGACCATCGCAGCCAGCGCCGCCACCGTGAAGCAGATGGCCGAGCTGCTGCGCAGCTCCTGCCCGGTATGTTCCTGGGGGCTCGGGCTGGGAGGGAGGAGAGGAACGGACCCTTGTGCCTGTGATGGGAGTGGGGACGTCGCACGAGGCAGGATACAGGGAGGCTGATACGTGTGGATGGGCACAGACTGACCTGGCACCCAGCTTCACGTGGCTCCGTGGCTCAGAACCTGTGTTCAGTCATTCAGGTAGCAGCCGTGTGCTGACCACGTGCCGGGAGCTGGTGTGGCTGCCCGCACTCTTGCTCTCCTTGGCTTATGCAGTAGTGGGGACAAGAGCACCCTGGGTCTTCCTGGCCAGGCCTTACTGGAAGCTGATGGCCCGCCATTGTTTGTTTCACCATCCTCTCCCCCGCCCTGCATCCCCTGCCCCTCTGCCGCATCCGCCACCCAAGACCACCTTCACGCACACCCTCCCTATCCCCTCACCTCCCCTGGTGCCTTACCAGACACATGGGCCTCAGGCCAGACATATGGCTGTGGCAGTGGCCATCACCATACCCACTGCCACAGCCATCACCACTGTCCCGGCTCAGCTGCCCCAGGGCGGTTTCCTCCCTCATCTCCACCTTGTCCCCACTTCTTTTTTTTTTTTTTTTGAGACGGAGTCTTGTTCTGTCTCCCAGGCTGGAGTAGTACAGTGGCATGATCTTGGCTCACTGCAACTTCTGCCCCCTAGGTTCAAGTGATTCTCATGCCTCAGCCTCCTGCGTACCTGAAATTACAGGCGCCCGTCACCATGCCCAGCGAATTTCTGTGTTTTTAGTAGAGGTGGGGTTTCACCATGTTGCTCAGGCTAGTCTTGAATTCCTGGCCTCAAGTGATCCGCCCACCTTGGCCTCCCAAAGTGCTGGGATTACAGGCGTGAGCCACCACTCCTGGCCCTGTCCCCACTTCTAACCATCCCGACACCCTCCGCTCCACCACACCAGGTCAGTGCCCAGTCGCTGAAGATTGGAGGGTACTTGTCACAAAAGATTAAATGCTGCCGAACCCTAAGATTTTATGGGGCAGGAGTGAGCAAGCTGCAGCCCGCTGGCCCGCACCTGCTTCATGCTGCACCTGCTTCATGCATATGGTGTGAGCCACTGGCCATACCTGCTTCGTGCTGCACCTGCTTCATGTGTACAGTGTGAGCCACTGGCCATACCTGCTTCATGCACGTGGTATGAGCCACTGGCCTCACCTACTTCATGCTGCACCTGCTTCATGCGTTCGGTGTGAGCTGCTGGCCATGCCTGCTTCATGCATGCAGTGTGAGCCGCTGGCTGCACCTGCTTCATGCTGCACCTGCTTCATGGGTACGGTGTGAGCCACTGGCCATACCTGCTTCATGCTGCACCCACTTCATGCGTACGGTGTGAGCCGCTGGCCGCACCCGCTTCATGCTGCACCTGCTTCATGCGTACAGTGTGAGCCGCTGGCCGTACCTGCTTCATGCGTACAGTGTGAGCCACTGGCTGTACCTGCTTCATGTGCACGGTGTGAGCCGCTGGCTGCACCTGCTTCATGCATACGGTGTGAGCTTCTGGCTGTACCTGCTTCATGTGCACAGTGTGAGTGAGACGCCAACCTGCCCCTGCCATAGGTGCTGCCCATAGCTGCTCTCACTGCCTTAGGAGGGCTGGGGTTGCAGGTTCAACCTGCTGCAGAGCCAGCAGCATGGATTAGCAGTCCTGCAGGGGAAACACATGCCGCCTTCCCTGTGGAAAATACACGTGACATGGACAGTGCTGCGTTGGGTGTGGTCAGCAGTGAGAAGGAACGGAGAGTTAGGCAGGCCACAATGTGGTGGGGCTCAAAGACTGCATGCCCCCATGCAAGAAAACACACAGTGTGTGGTTCTGTTTGTGTGAAACATCCAGAAAATGCAATCTCTGGAGACCAAAAGTGGATGAGCGGTTGTCGGGGTTGGGAGCAGGAGTTGGTTTTGGGGCGCCTGCAGGCAGGCGCGGGGCCCTTTCTGGCATGATGGGGAAGTTCTAAAACTGGGTTGTGGGGATGGCTGTACAACTAAGAGTTACTGAACTCGACACTTAAAAGCGGGTGAATTTTATCAGATCTCAATTATACAGTAATAAAACTTGTACTTAAAAAAGTAGAGCTAGTTCAAAAGTTAGTTACACTAAAAAAGCGTGTGACAGAGGCAGCAGCCCCCTGTCCAGTGATGGGGTGGCCGGAGTCTCCCTAAAGGCAGATGACAGGAGCGCTGGGAGCTTTGTGCTGAGCGGCCTGGAGCGTCTCTGTGCACGGGCCACTCCTCATAGCCATGGCTGCCCTGCGGGGACCACTCTGTGGGGACTGGGTGCTGCCCTGGCCTGTGCCCTCGGGTGGTGATGTCAGCAGCATCATGGCCAGCACTGACGCCTGTGTCTGACCTCTTCCTCTGTAGCTTTGTTCTTCATTCTCTGACTCAGGTGTGCCTGAGTCACTTACTCATTTACTTATTCATCCGAGAATACACGCTGGGCCCTCTTGTGGGAGGTGCTGAGAAAGGCCCCACATGGTGGAGGGTTGCGATTCTGAGAGGTGTTTCTGTGGGGTGAGAGCAGGCTCGGGTGGTCCGCGCAGGTCGTTTCCTCGTGAAGTGAATGGCTCCTTCACATGGCTTGGTGGGCGCAGTCGGTGCCTACCACATCTTTGACTTTATGGGCCATGGACGCTTTGATGAGATGTAGTACCTTCGATCGTGGGAAGAGGTCAAGGCTGTGATCGGCTGCTCCCAGTGCCCCTCGGTCATCAGAGGTTTACCCCAGACCAGCCCGCCTGAGCCTTAGCTCTCTCCAGTCTTCTGATAGCCATGGGGTGGGTGCTGGAAGGAAGCTGTGGGTTCCTTGGTGCTCCTGCTGGTGGGCGGCACCCACGGTGAGCCAGAGCAATGGGGCTGACCCCAGGGCTGCTTGTCCAGCCCTACCCTGGCTCAGTGTTTCTCCAGCTCCAGCTCTGGAGCAGGTGCCTGGTGGGCGCTGAGGTGTGGTGGCAAACGGCCCAGCAGGAAGGAACTGGGGTTGGTGGACCCTGTAGGCCATGGGGAGCCCAGATAGAGGTGAGATGCTGGGGAGAGGGATGGTTCTGGCAGTGACCCCGCCACCTATGTGACCACAGACAAGCCACTCGGGACTCAGGGCCGCGGTGTCCTGTGCTGTGGAAGGGGAGTTACAGACAAGCCACTCGGGACTCAGGGCCACAATCTCCTGCGCTGTGGAAGAGGAAGGAGTCACAGACAAGCCACTCGGGACTCAGGGCCGTGGTGTCCTGTGCTGTGGAAGAGGAAGGAGTCACAGACAAGCCACTCGGGACTCAGGGCCGCGGTGTCCTGCGCTGTGGAAGGGGAGTCACAGACAAGCCACTTGGGACTCAGGGCCACGGTGTCCTGCGCTGTGGAAGAGGAAGGAGTCACAGACAAGCCACTCGGGACTCAGGGCCGCAGTGTCCTGCGCTGTGGAAGGGGAGTCACAGACAAGCCACTCGGGACTCAGGGCCGCGGTGTCCTGCGCTGTGGAAGAGGAAGGAGTCACAGACAAGCCACTCGGGACTCAGGGCCGCAGGTGTCCTGCGCTGTGGAAGGGGAGTCACAGACAAGCCACTCGGGACTCAGGGCCGCGGTGTCCTGCGCTGTGGAAGGGGAGTCACAGACAAGCCGCCCAGGGCTCAGGGCCACGGTGTCCTGTGCTGTGGAAGAGGAAGGAGAGTCACAGACGAGCCACTTGGGACTCAGGGCCACAGTCTCCTGCGCTGTGGAAGGGGAGTCACAGTGCTTCTCGCGGAGGTGGTGCGGGGCCAGGTTTATGTGCCTTGAGTAGCTCCTGGCTCCAGCAGGTGGTGTTGACCCCTGAGCTGGATTTTGTGGTGATGGTGTCCCTGGGGACTCTGGGTGTGCTTGTGGAGACAGCAGTGACACCAGGGGGATGTAGTTGATGGCGAGCCCCGTTCTGAGTGTGGGAAGGTGGGACATCAGTGCGGGAGGAGGTGAGGGTGGTGGGGCCGCTGGGGCAGGGCCAAACCTCCCATGTCGTGCCAGCTGTGCCCTGTTTCTGCAGCAGGAGCGTCCTCAGCTGGACCGGCTGAACACCCAGCTCTCGGATGCCATTCAGCGCTATGGAGTGGTGCAGAAGGTGAGGTGCGGGGGGCGGCGGGGCCTGCAGGCCGGGCAGGCGGGGCCTCGGTTCCCAGAGCACCCTCATGGCTGTCTTGTCCCTGTGGGCCTGGTACAAACCCATCCCCAAAGGCAGAGAAGGGGGTCATCCTTGCACACAGTTTCTAGGCAGCCAGGATCCAGACTGTGCCTCGGGACTTGTGTCCTAGAGGACATTTACCCACATCAGCTCTGGGGAAGCAGGAAGAACAGGTCTCACCTGACTCTGACAGGTGAGGAAACGGGGGCCCAGAGAGCTCCCATGCGTGAACAGAGGCCATCCAGCGTCTCGCTGGCAGAGCTCAGCCCTGGCCCCGGCAGCCTCTTCTGGGAGTGGCAGGCATATTTTGCTGCACCATCGTCTAGAACCCTGCGCTCAGCTGACCATTTCTTCTCTCTTCCCCACCTTTTTTACTCTTCCTGTGTTTCTTCTCTTGTCCTTTTTCCAACAGAAAATTGCAGAAAAGTCCAGAGCGCTGCTTCCCATGGCACAGAGGGGCAGTAAACAGGTGGGTGCCAAGTAGTGACCGTGGGTCAGTGACTGTTAGGGGACACTCAGAATCCACTGCCATCTGTGCTCCATGGAAGGGCGGGGAGGGCCAAGGGCAGGGGTCTCCTCTGAGGGGTGCCGTGAGGCACAGCCTTGAAAACATGAGCATTTTGACCTTTGGGCCCTGGCACAGTGCCCGACAAGGGCTCAGCTCCCAAAGAATGACTGTGGATGGTTCCATGTGCTGGGCAGGACTCACTGGTCAGACCAGCCCTCCTGCTGAGAGCCGCTGTAAAACCTGCGTTAAAACACACGCACACGTGGCCGGGTGCAGTGGCTCACGCCTGTAATCCCAGTACTTTGGGAGGCTGAGGTGGGCAGATTATCTGAGGTTAGGAGTTCAAGACCAGCCTGGCCAACATGGAGAAACCCCATCTCTGCTAAAAATACAAAAATTAGCCAGGCATGGTGGCGAGCACCTGTAATCCCAGCTACATGGGAGGTCGAGGCAGGAGAATTGCTTGAACCCAGGAGGCAGGGCTGAGGTTCCAGTGAGCGGAGATCACGCCACTGCACTCCAGCCTGGGTGACAGAGTGAGATTCTGTCTCAAAAACAAAAACAGAAAAACCACAGGCACGTGCACACAGAAAAATGCACACATAGATGCACACAGACACGTAGACACACAGATAAACACAGATTCACAGAGATAAACAGAGACACAGACCTGCAGAGGCATGCAGAGACAGAGAAATACAGACACACAGACACACAAATACATGCAGAGACACATGCAGATAAACACAGACGTGCAGAGATGCAGATAAACACAGAGACGCAGATAAACACAGACATGCAGACACATGCAGGTAAACACGCAGAGACAGATAAACACAGACACGCAGACACATGCAGGTAAACACGCAGAGACAGAGAAATACAGACACACAGACACACAAATACATGCAGAGACACATGCAGATAAACACAGACGTGCAGAGATGCAGATAAACACCTGGAGACACAGATAAACATAGGCACGCAGACACATAGATAAACACAGACACGCAGACACATGTAGATAAACAGAGACACAGATAAACAGACACACATGCAGATAAGCATAGACATGCAGAGACAGATAAACATAGACATGCGGACACAGATAAACACGGACACACAGACATGAAGAGACACATGAACACAGACATGCAGACACATATGCAGATAAACAGACATGCAGAGACACAGATAAACAGACACGCAGAGACACAGATAAACAGACACGCAGAGACACAGATAAACACAGACACACAGACGCGAAGAGACACAGATAAACAGACAAACTGAGACAAACAGACACGCAGTCACACAGATAAACACGCAGACACGAAGAGACAGATAAACAGACACGCATAGACAGAGATAAACGCGCAGACACGAAGAGACACAGATACACAGACACGAAGAGACACAGATAAACACAGACATGCAGAGGCAGATAAACATAGACCCACAGACACACAGATAAACGCAGACATGCAGACACAGAGACACAGATAAACAGACAAACACAGATGTGCAGAGACACATGCAGATAGACACAGACATGCAGACACACACACAGACACAAACACAGACATGCAGACACACACAGAGACATGCAGACACACAGAGACACACAGATAGACACAGACATGCAGAGACACACAGAGACACAAACACAGACATGCAGACACACAGATAGACAGACATGCAGACACACAGAGACACACAGATAGACACAGACATGCAGAGACACATGGATCCAACATGGGGGAAGCGTCAGAGCAGCCGGGAACCAGGCCCAGGGAGGCACGTGTTCCCAGATCACTCAGGCTCATCATCACTTCCTTCTCACCCCCAGGACATTTGGCAGCTTGTGTCTCAGCTTATCGAGACTGAACAGCCATGGTGGCTTATAGCTTTAGTGGTCTTACTGGGCTGGAGAGTCACAAATTAGAGCCCGGGACCCTTAGGAATAAAACCCTGGAGGGGATTGCAGCCCTCAGGTTTTCCCCGGGAGGCAGGCTTTTGCTGATCCACACTCGCTGGTGTGTGCATGTCGTGAGAGTCTGAGACGCCAAGCAACAAGTACTTCACAGGAAAAGCTGAACAGAAGTGGGAGTGCCCTCAGAGTACTAAGAAGACAAAAGTTGGATTTTAAGGCCCACCCAGGAGGAGGGACTCTTGTAAACACAAGTTCCGCTTGAGACAATGAGAGATGACGGTAAACCAGAAGCAGACCAGCCCTGACCAACCAAACCTAAAGCATAGCCAGGAATCATGTCTATGTGGTCTCTCCAAAGACAGACAATTCCATCATCTAGAATCTCTGCAATTTTTCATACAGTGTTTGGGATTTAAGCCAAAGTCATTAAGCATCACAGGGACCAGGATCCAATGACTAAAGCCAAGGAAAAACAGGAAGTAGAAACTGACCAACAGGTGATGCAGATAATCAAATGGTTGGTCGGACACTCAGCTTAAAATACCTACAGGTTGAGCATCCCTAAGTTAAAACTCCAAAATTGGAAACTTTTTGAGTGCCAACATGATGCACAAAGGAAATGCTCTTTGGAACATTTAGGTTTTTGGATATTTGATGAGGAATGTTCATCCAATAAGTACAATGCAGATATTCCAAAATCTGAAAAAAAAAATCAAAAATCTGAAAACAAGTTCAAAATCTAAAACACTTCTGGTCCCAAGCGTTCTGGATGAGTGACACTCAATCCGTTTTATTAACATGTGAAAGGAAATAGGAAATGGTATAGACTTTTACCAGAGAACTTACATTTTATTTTAAAAAGGGAGTTCTAGTATTGAACAATACCGTAACTAAAATTAAGAATTTAGTGGGTTAGCTAACTCTCCACATAGACAAAGCAGAAAAAAGGATTAGTGAATTAGAAGGCAGGGCATAAGAAAACTTATCTGGGATGTTGAATATTTATTAAAAAATTAAATCCATAATTTAAAAATATCCTGCAAAGAAAACTCTAGACCTCAATAGCTGTATGGGTGAATTCGGTCCCATATTTGAGCAGTAGCTAGCAGCAGTTTACACACACACACAGAGAATACGGCGGGGAGGAACACACCTTGTCTGCCTCACGAGGCCCCAGTAGCTTGATTCCAGATTCTTACGAGGATCCCAGGAAGGAAAATAACATGCTAGTCTCTCTTACGAACATAGAGACAAAAATCCTAAATATTAGTAACTTCAATCAATCAACGTGTAAAAGGATGATACATCATTATAAAGTGAGGTTGATTGTAGGGATGCAGGGCTGATTTGCATTCAGAGTCTGGGTATGATTCACCACGGAATACAGAAGAAGTGAGGAAATCTGTACAGGTTATTTCAACAGATAGGAAAAGCACTAGATAAAATTCAACACTCAAGAAGGCTAAAAAAAATCCTGGCAAACTAGGAATAGATAAGAATGCCTTTAATCTGCCAAAAAGTATCTTCAAAAACCCTACAGTTAACGTTATACTTACTGAGGAGATGTTAAAATCTTTTCTCCTAAGATAGAGGATAAAACGAGGGCATCTAGTACTATTGTTTCTGTTCCCCATTGTGCCAGAAGTCGTATCCAACGCAGTATGGCATGAAAAAGAAAGTAGGATTGAGAAGGAACTGTTTCATAGACAGCACGATTATGTCCATGGAAAATCCGAACGCATCTGCAGCGTGCTGTTAGAATTCATCAGTGAATGCGGCAGGACAGGTCAGTAGACAAGAAGACATTGTGTGTGCTGGCAAAAGACAGTTTGGAGAGGAAATTTAAAAACTGATATCATAATTTATTACAATAAATTTCTTCAAAAAATTCTACGAAGAGCGGTTAAGGCCTCTACATTAAAAACTATGCCACATTACTGAGAGAAATGACAGATGACCTGAACCATGCAGGGGATACTGTGTTTACGGAGATGTCAGCTGTCACCCAGTGGATGATCTAAACCGTGCAGGGGATACTGTGTTTACGGAGATGTCAGCTGTCACCCAGTGGATGATCTAAACCGTGCAGGGGATACTGTGTTTACGGAGATGTCAGCTCTCACCCAGTGGATCTGTAGGCTCAATATAATCCCAGTAAAGTTCCAGCAGGTTTTCAGTGTGTGTGTGTGTGTGTGTGTGAGAACTGTCAAGCTGATTCCAAAATGTATATGGAAATAGGAAAGACCCAAAATAGTGAAGACAATTTTGAAGAACAACGAAAGAGATTTATACTATCAGGTATTGGAACACACTATAAAGCACAGAAATAAAAACAGTGTGGTGTTTGTGCGAGGCTAGACACACCAGCCTGTGGACACATCAGCCCGTGGGACAGAGTGAAGACCGGACACAGACCACAGATACGTGGCGGCTGGGTTTGCGGCCGAGGCGGACCGCCCTGCCACGGGAGGTGGGTGATTCGTTCAGGGCTTGATACGGATCACTCGGATGTTTGAACTGGAAAAAAGGACCCTTCACAAACAACTCACCCTGTGCAGAAAGCACTTCCAGCCAGACCACAGACCCACGTGTGAAAGATAAGGCAGTAGCACATCCAGAAGGCACCATGGGAGGCTCCGTTGATGCCTTCATGGTGGGCAAGTATTTCTTACACAGACGCACAAGTGCCACCCACAAAGGAGAAGGTCGATACACTTTGTTAAAATTATACCCCAGTAAGAGAGTGCAGCCCACAGCACAGGGGAGGGTGTGTGCACAACACATGTGAAAAGGACTTACATCCTTAATATGTAAAGATATCTTACAGATCAATAAGGAAAGGGCAGACAGCTCTATCGAAAAGCAATAAAAGGGCAGCAGCCTTCCACTGGCACCTCAGAAGAGGATTCCAGGTGGCTCATAAGCCTGTGAAAGTGTACTTGGCAACATGAGTTATCAGGAAAATGGCAAAGAAACCCGTGGTGGTGTATCACCACACACCACACCCACACAAATAACTAGAGCAAAC